ACCCCAACACAGCTGCTTTGCTTGAGGTGTCCAAATGGCCGCTGGCTCCCCGCCCCCTCCGGGACGCTGCGCCGCCGGCCGGGAAAGCTGCCTCTCCTTTCCCTTCTCCTCCCCCCCGCCGCTTGCCTTCCCTGCGTGGCTCCGGCACGGGGGCCCCAGGCCCGCACAGATGCCTCCGGCACCCCGGGAGCAGGTCTGGGAAAGGCAGGTCTTGCTGCAGGCGCATCTTCCCCCCGGGCAGGGGAAGAGCTGGGGCGGAGCAGGGGAAGGGGAACAAACTTCAGATGGGGAAATGCTCCTGCTGGATGAGATGGCAGCCTGGCTGGGAAGCCAGCCAGGCAGGGATGTACAACATATTACCTCTCTCAGGCCTGACAAGCTTGTAATGAGCCATACGACTGAGAAATGGAAACTAAACGAATATGGACAGGCGATGACTGGAAAGAAATAGTCCACATCCCGTTTTAAAAGACTGGCGGGGGGCAGAGCCCTTGATCTGTGTTTGCAGAAGCACTGCCCGAGAAACACAGGGAACCCCGTAAGTGCGTATAGAAACGTCTGCACAGCCCCTCTGAGCCCCCCCCCAAATGTATGTGGCTGTTCCTTTGCATGCTTACACAAACACACACGTACACACACACGTACACATATACCCACAGACACGTTTCCCAGCACATATGTGCAAATATTCCCAGTCAAAAACTCTGCGAGAATCCCACGTCCCTTTATGCACAGTTATTTACACCCACACTCGTAAACCTACCCCAAGTCAGGCCTCTCTGCGTGCACACGCACACACTCACCCTTGCACTGTGATATTCAGATTTCACTAAAAAAACTAACCTGGACTTTTTTTCTCTCTAACACAAAACCTTTCAGCTCTGGGTGAGAGTACAAGCAAACCATCCAAATCCTAAACAAAAAGTTACTCTTGTGACGCCCTTAGCCTGGAGATGACGGAAGGGCTGATGGAAACATGGCTTTCAGGATCCATGGAGATGCCCTCTCAAGGCTTTGAGCTCGCAGTAAACTACACTGTCCTTGGAGCACGGCTGAGTTTGGTTTTGTGTTTAACTTGCTCTCCCCACGATCAGCCTCAGAGAGAAATCAGCCAGGGACCAAGAACCACAACCAACGCAGGAGCGTGTAGCTCAAGGTCCTGAATTAGCCACATCTGCTGCAGCCGTCCACTATAGCCGTGACTCCTGCACCTTGTTTAACCTTCTCCATTCCCCTCCCGCTTTGATTTCTTTTTGCCTTCCACTCTCGCCCCTTTCCTGCAGATCTGGGACCTCCTTTCTGGCGCTCGGTGGCAGAGGGAGCAGTCCTGCCCTGCCGGCTGCCCTGCCCTCAGGAGTAGCATGTCCGCGGGTGAACACCACCCAAAGCAAGCCTGTGCCTGGCCGGCGAGCAGCGGCAGCCCTTCATGGCCAGCTTGAGGCTTGTTGCCACGGTCGTGTTTCCCTGCGTGCTGGTGGTGCCGCCCCGCTCCCGCTCACAATAGCCGTCCCTGGAGCATCGCTCCCAGCCACGGCGGCTCCCGGCAGCAGGGCAGGGCTGCTGCTCCAGCCACGGGCTCAAGCTCCGGAGAGGCTGCAGCCGGGCCGGGAAAAGGAGGGAAGGTCGGCTCTGGGGTTGGACACGTGCCACGGCAGCTCTGCACTTTCAGCTCCTGGGCCGTGGCGAGGAGTCGGTGCGCGGACATCCAGGATCACGCTCACGTGTGCAGCTCCGTACCTGTGTGCGCAGCTTCTCTTTAAATACTCTCCCCCGTGCTCTTGGAGACGGGGAACTGCATTTGATCTCTTGCACTAGCTTAATCGCTCTTCTGTCTCCCTCTTATCCCGGCGCTGCTGCTCTGAAAACAACAGGCCTGTTGTCCTCTTGCTCTGCAAACTCAGGTGCTGCCTCACCCGACCGGGGCCGTGCTGGAGGTGCAGTCCACACGCGGGTGAGCCACCCCGGTAAGACACTGCAGAGCGGCTCCGCTGCCTCCTGGCCCCATCACTTCAGCAAAGGGCAGGGAAGGAGACAAACAACTGCCTCCTGTCCCCTCCTAGGACACCAGCACCGAGGCACGAGCATGTCACTTCATCCTGGAGTAGGACAGGTTCCAAAAACTCCTTCTCCTTGGGCAGATGGGGATGGCAACCCGGCCCGGCAACAGCCCGGGAACCACTCACTGGTCTGCTGTGGTCCGCAGAGGGCACAGGCTGTGGGACACGTTGCTGTCGCTGTCTCAGGGTCCTTGCGAGTGAATTTAAGGTGTATCAAACACGGGAGGCAGGAGTCCTGCACGGGGGTTTCTGTTCTCAGTTGCAGAAGGATGTCGGCAGGAGACGCCGGACCATTTGCATGAAGACAAGTTTCAGTACTGGACCCAGATAAACTCCTTATCCCACTCCTCCTTCGCTGGGTTAGTCCAGTCCTCAAAAAGCTTTTCCTTCACATGGGTGACTTGTGCTCTGAGGG